GGCTCGCGCCCCAGCCTCTCGGAACTCCCTGCCCACGGCGCGCGGATCCCCGGGCCTCCGCCGCTCCCGCGCACTAAGCGCCCTTCGCGGAACTCGAGCAAGGGAAGGGGATGGTGAGAGGGGAAGAAAAAGGAGGCTGAGTAAGGGCGGGGGTGGAGGGAGAGCAGGGAGACAGTAGGAAGAGAGGGGCTCCGAGCCCCACCGACCCCAAGTCCAAACTTTCCGAAGATGGGTGCGAAAAGAAGGGTCATCCCGACCCGGGTGCGGGGAGCGCGGGGCGACCGGGGACCCCTGGCACTGCCCGCGCCGCCGCGGTGCTGACAGCTTCCCCGAGCCGCGAGACAGCCCCAGGCTCGCGGTGGACACAGAACCCGAAAAGACAGGCAAAACGAGAGAAAACTGCTCGGCCAAACGTGGATGAACCGCCACTTAATCCAAAAGTTAAATCCCGAAAAACGCACCCCCCCACCAAAGAAAGTGGAAAATCAGGTCCCTCAGTGCCCCCTCCCTCCCTCAGCAGAGCAAATCCTGGAGCCAAAAAAAAAGGGGGAAAGAGATAGAAAAGGGGGGCAGAGCGGAAGAGATGGTCGGGCTGAGGGGATGTGTGCGAGAGCGAGCGAGAGCGAGCCAGCCAGGGGCAGAGAGGGAAAGAGGCGGAGAGGGAGAGAGAGGGAGCGAAATACCAAAGATTGTGCAAGATCAGGCTGGAAAGATAATCGATACTCGACCTAAATTTAACACAAACTACTCAATAAAAGTTAAAGAAAAAAACTTACTTTCCATTCCCCTGCAGTTCCTACTCGATCTTCGCCTCTTTTTTGTTTTGCTTTTATTTTACTTACAGCTGATCACATCCAAGTAAAACGAGAGGGTTCATTTAAAAAAAATAAAAAAAATAAAAAAATAATCCTCGAACTTTATTGGGTGAAAATAAAAACGCTGGAGCAGAAAGTGGGGGGCATGGAGCGGTCCTCGGGGGTCCGGGAGGAGTTAAAGCATGTGCCGACCGCGGTCTCGCTGTTTGGTTGTGAAGGGGTTGGGAAAGGAGGAAAGGAAATGAAAATCCGATATGTCTTTATTCTGCTAATTATTATCGTTTTAGCCCTGTTTAAAAAAATGGCTGATTAAGTTGAGTGCGCATGTCTTTGTGTGTCTATTCCCGATATGCACTCTGGGAATGAGAGAGGAGAGCGAGGGAGAGGGAGAGGGAGAGGGGGGAGAGAGAGGTGTAATTAGTGAGGTGATCAACATTCCCCAGACTGCAAATGACGCGCAGCCCGGACTCGGAGCAGCCCGGGAGCCTGGCGGCTTCCAAGGCTCGGAGCGCTGCGGCGGGAGCCCGGGACGCGGCGACCGCGGAGAGGGCAGGGGATGGGG